TAACTGCCCTAAGGTTCATTTATTGGCTGGCCCAGGTAGTCGGTTGTTTGGTGGGGTGGGTGTTTTGTTTTGGTTTTTTTTTTTTTTCTTTTTTTAAATGGCACATTTTCTTTTGCCAATCTAACTGGACCTATTAAAAGCTTAGGTACAAGTTCATTCTTTTTTAAATTTTTTCTTTAGCCTATGAAAAACATTTTCAAATGCAGCACAATAAAAAACATTCAAGAACAAGCTTCAGAAAATACATTTGCCCTTAGACACACAGAGAATAATCTTTGTAAGACAGTTGAAAACCAGATTTTTGTCACTCTTTTTCTTTGAAAATAAAAATTTTGTAAATGCATCTATAATAATCAAGGCTTCATAAATAGTCAAAAAATGGTTTGCTTTCCTTTGTATTAAAAGCTAATTCACAGCATTTTAGCCCACCAAACTTTAGTATGAATTAGATCTTTCCAAATTATTAAAAGCAATTCAATGAATAGCAAACTGAATGAGGAGTTCTGTGGGTTGGGTTGTTTTGTTTTTTGTTGGTTTTTTTTTTTTTCCCCTAAGCCCTGAGATCACAGCTCTTGATTTAACGATAAAATATGGGTCTGTTTAATACCAAGCAGCTTAGAGATTTTTGGCAAACCACATTTCCAACAATAGCGGGGTTTGGTACAAGAATGCAGTTCATAATCAAGTCTGAAATTCTGGACGGAAGGCTTTCTTGCAAATGGGAAAAAAAGAAATTAAGATGCATCACTCATTGCTGGCTGTCACTGTAGCTTGGGCAACTGTTGGTCTAAGTGCAGCTGGTCTCATGTGAATCCAACTCTGTATTGTACTGAGTCGCTAAACATTAAAACATGTCAAGCAAAGTACATAGTGCGCAACGTGTCCTGATGAACTTGAACTGCTTTAGCAAGTGCTTGATGATCTCTGCCATTACTCTGCCCGGAAGTGTGGCTTCCTTCAGCACTGAAAGAGAAGGGAGGTGGAGAAAAAAAAAAAAGAGGGGGTTGGGTGTGGGGGGAGAGAAACCCTATTTAATCTGCCTCTCCTTGCATACACTGTTTTTAAATCATTCCCTTCTTCTGAACGGAACAGTCAAAGTGAATTACCCTTACAACACCACTGAAGCTCAGAAGCATACAGCAACACCTACTGTTTTCCACAATGTAATTCAGTGGTAAGGCCAAATTTACCCTCAGTCTGCTAACTAAGGATACTATTGACCCCAGAATTAACAAGCCCACTTCCTTCCTGCTTCCTTTCCAATTCTGTAATAATTCAAAACGATGCAACTCACCTATCGTGTTCTTTATCCACCAGATGATACCTGGCTCTGAAGGCAACCAGGTGCGCGTAATATGCTGGTGCGGGGATGGAAACAGAACGAGTGCAGCGTACGTACGTATGACACAGCTGGTAAGTAAGAATCTGCAGTTCATCTGAAGAGAAACGATTGTCATCCCAGAGGACGTGGTAATGAGAAGGTCTGCTTGTTCCCTGAAGGCAGATCATACAGGACGTCAGCATTTCAAAAACATTTCTTTAAATTTCCACCTCTGCAGGTGAACTGCAGTATAACCGGCCGCTCCCTCAAAAATCACATGCGAGCAATTCTACATACTTCAGCAAATTTGTCCTTTAGAAAGGCAAACAACCTCCCACCTCGCTCCCCACGTAACTAACCCCTTAGCATTATTGGATAGGATTGCATTTTCTAGAATTTCATCCCTTTTACTGAAATTAAATCATCTTACTGAAATGCACTTTCATCTTGTGAAACTTAGATCTGACAAAAAGCCATCGTATAAAGTAGCTTTAGGCAAAACATTAATAGCTGACAGCAATCTAACTTGTGCTCCTACTGAATACGCTTTTTTAGAAAATATCAAATGCTGGCTTTCAGTACTATTGTGGATTAAAAGTTTCTGACTGGGAAGAAGTAGTCACAAGAAAATGTGAAACTACAATGGTGCTATCTAACTGTATTAGTTGTTTCCTAGGAACTGGATGCACCTTTCAAGAGAATTTAATGCAAGAGACAGCTCTGTAAAATAGTCCAGATACCTTTGCTGTCATTCAAAGCGTCACACAGGCAAGAGAAAAGCACAATAAACTAAATGCACAGGGTGTGCTGTGTATCTATTGAGTTTTGTTATTTCTTTCAGATTTTAACAATGACAGAAGAGTGCTTTTGATGGCACAGATGAAAAGCCGAAATACACAGACAGAAGCTGTATCATTTGTCTCCCGCACGAAGAACGTGGGAAATACCAACAGCCAGCGTTACCTCTGAAAGTTACCATCGCACACAAAATGTTGTACCTGAATACCAGCATGACTACACAGGTAAAAGTCAAACTCTGATGGATGGGTGATTTTTGTGTCCACTGTGGTACCCGCTGGAATGTTTCCGCTTTTTCCAACCTGTAGGAACAGAAAATGCAAATATAATATGGCACACACAAAGTTTTTTCTTTTCAGCTGTATAGTAAGGAAAAAACACAAGGAAAAACAATAATCTGTAAAAAGCAAAAAGTCAAGAGAGAATGAGCAAAACTAAACTGTTGTTCAACTGAAAGTCTGGAGTGTCTCCACTATGAAGGCAAAACAAGACAAGCTGCAAAACCTTCTTAGAAGTTACCTAAAAAGATTAGCTTTTCTGATTAACGTAAAAAGAATTTCCTGCAACTGATTTGTCAAATTCTTTTCACCTTCCCATTCCAGGCCAGGTTATTCTTCTGTAATTTCTCTTGTTTATACCTGAAAGAGGACAATCCATAGTTGCAAGACAGGCCTCTTCCTCCCTCAAAACCACTTTACTTCAAAGCAGAGCTTAAAGTAGTTTTTACTTGAAAACAATTTAACAACTGTAATCATAGCATGTTATCAATATAAAATCATAGAATCGTCTAGGTTGGAAAAGACCTTTGAGATCAGGGAGATAATTCGAGATAGCCAGCATGGCTTCACCAAGGGCAAGTCCTGCCTGACGAACCTAGTGGCTTTCTATGATGGTGTGACGTCAACGGTGGACAGAGGGAAACCAATGGATGTCATCTATCTGGACTTCTGCAAGGCCTTTGACACCGTCCCCCACAACATCCTTCTCTCTAAATTGGAGAGCTATGGATTTGATGGGTGGACTGTTCGGTGGATAAGGAACTGGCTGGATGGTCGCGTCCAGAGGGTAGTGGTCAATGGCTCAATGTCCGGATGGAGACCGGTGACGAGTGGTGTCCAGGGCGATCAGGTCTCCCCTCAGCCTCCTCTTCTCCAGACTAAACAACCCCAGTTCCCTCAGCCACTCCTCATATGACTTGTGCTCCAGACCCCTCACCAGCTTTGTGGCTCTCCTCTGGACATGTTCCAGCAACGCAACGTCTTTCTTGTAGTGAGGGGCCCAAAACTGAACACAGTATTCGAGGTGCCGCCTCACCAGCGCCCAGGACAGGGGCACGATCACTGCCCTGCTCCTGCTGGCCACACTATTCCTGACACAAACCAGGACTCTGTTGGCCTTCTTGGCCACCTGGGCACACTGCTGGCTCATATTCAGCCGGCTGTCAACCAGTACCCCCAGGTATTTTTCCGCCAGGCAGCTTTCCAGCCACTCTCCCCCAAGTCTGTAGCATTGCATGGGGTTGTTGTGAGCAAAGGGCAGGACCTGGCACTTGGCCTTGTTGAACAGTTGGCCTCGGCCCATCGATCCAGCCTGTCAGGTCCCTCTGTAGAGCCCTCCTCCCCTCAAGTAGCCAACTGGATTTAACTCCATTCACTCCATTAACTTCATACAAAACCACCTTCGTGTCAGCTTTAGAAGTTACTAATTACTGCCTTGAGGCCTAGTGGGCTTCAAATGCTCACAGAGAAGCCTGACAGAAGGGAAAAGAACATGAAAAACCCTGTCTCTGAACAGAGGCTTGCTATCAGGAACTCTCCATTTACAGCAATGACTCCATCCGAGACGTGGGGAGTCTCCTCTCTGCCCCGAAAGGCGGAATCAAGTATTTCTACATGTACTTCACACAGATGCAATAACAGCTATCAAACACTCATGAAACAATTTGAGATGTTCGGTACTACAAAAAATGGGTTGTGACACTTGATAGGCCCAAACCGAACTCCACCTGTTTAAGACATTAGACACCTACGATACCTTAAAGGTAGCATGAGTGGAAAAGAAAGCATTCTCAAAGTACAGGTTTAACCTTACCTAACAATTTCAGTGTCTACATCTCAGCTGGTAACCCAAGAGTCATTCTATAGTCAATGGCAACCAATGCAGTGACCTCACTAGCACTAGAATCAAAAGAAATGTGCCTTAAAGTGTGTTGGGAATACTAAACAGATCTCCATTTACCACAGAGTGCCTGAGGTAACTGTTCCAGATGTAGTCATCAACACTATAAACCAACACTACTCAGATCAATCTCAACCCTTGAGGATCTTGAGACGGTAAAAAAAAAAAAAATTAAAAGAAACCCGAAAACTTTAATGAACTTGAAAAAGGATAAACAGACTTGTTGAAAGGCACATCCTGCTTCATAAAAGCTTCTTGTCAGCTTATTATATGGGACAGAAAAGGAAGGTTTTCCTCTCCGAGTATAAAGATCTCACCCACTACGATATGTAGTTCTTCCACCAAGTCTCTTACTGCTTAAATAACCAGTAAGTGATAACTCGGCCGCCTTCTCAATACGTGCCGGTCACAATTAGGACATACCCGTTCTTTATTATCTGTACAGAAGAGTCTGGTGTGATGCCTTTTCTGCACAACTATAAATGTAATTCCAGGCTGGTAATCCTTTTCTAGTTTAATGCATGCTTCTCTGATAGCCAGCAATTCATGATGGAGAACCTGAATCATAAACATAAACACGTATCGTAAATATGAAAGATACCTATCTTACAGATTACTTTTATTTATCTACAGATTACTCTAACTTATCATGTTCCTTCTTGCACTGTCACTGAGGGTAATGAGATGTCAAAGCACGCAGGATCAAACCTTAATTTCTTCACTTAATGAGAACAAATTAGATCACCAGTTTCCTGAGCCAGGCGAGAGCTGGCTCCATATTTGTTCAGCTCCAAGCATGAGGCTTGGACTAATAAGCTGTGTGTCAAAAATCTTTTTAACTGCCAAATACAAATGAACATTTAATTAGGCTGTTGAATATACAACAGCCTAATTATTTTTCAGACTAGCACAAAGGATAAAATCCAGAATTGCTCAACTGCATGCTCTTTCCCAGCTCTGTGAACTCTTATGCAGGACTACAGTCATCAATAAAAACTGAGAGAGAAGTGCAATAAAACAAAAAGCAATGATTTGGGTTAATTATAAATTAAAAATTCAGCGAAAACCAGTAATAAATGGGGAAAAAAAAAAAAAACAACTATCAGAGGTTAATGCAAAGATTACATTATTAATTCAAGTTTACTGAGTGACCTTTAATCCCTTTCCCTTGGATTTTGAGAAGTTGACTAAATTCTGTATCTTTTAATTTATATATAAAAATACTGGAAAGGAAAGCGTATGTATCTTTAAAATATACAGAAAAATATTTCATCAAATATGGTACTTGTAAGCAAACAAAATAGAAGACAGTATTTGTTGAATTTTATCAGGAATGAATTAAAAGTGTCAGTGTGAAAATAGAGCGTTTATTAATCCTGGTTAAAAAAGTAGGAAAATTAGCTTACGCTTAGTTTTTCTTTACTGTCCCTGTTCTATGGGACATAGTTTGACCAATATATCTTGAACAGGTCACAGATGTTGAACGTAATGTGAGTGCTAAAAATATACTTTGTAATTTATAATTTTGCAAAGGGGAAAAATATTTTAAGAAGCTCATGAAAAATAGGAAAACACTTTCCCTGCTCTGCTTGGTTAGAATCCAACAGATTGGTTGAGGGAAGATTTGCTGAGAGTATACTTCCTTTTGTAACTCCAACTACATAAAACTACATTACTAACCAGAAAACTACATAATCAAAATATTAAAAAAAAAACAACAAACAAACAAACAAAAAAAACCAACAAAAAACCCACTAACCTGGAGAAACTGCCCCTCAGAAACGCCATCTCGGTAGAAGATTATACGAGTTGGTTTAAATCTGGTTGATTTGTAGAACTGAATAAGCAACTCCCTGACCATGGCAGCCAAATCTTGAATGATTTCTTGGCGGTGCTGCTGGACCCGAACAGTGGCACAGTAACGATTAGGATGAGCATCCATGCTTCCTACAACCTGTGGAAAAAATGCTTAGTATCAAACCAAACTTAAAAGCGCTTTAATTAAGATATTTCACAAAGATAACTGCACTCTCTTTTTAACAGTATCTTGTAAAATAAGGGGTTGACCTAGCAAAGATGTAGTCAAAATCATTACGTGCTTTGAGAGAGCTTTGAGTTTAGTCTACCCGTGGTAACATACCCTGCTGAAACAGAAAACTTATTTTAAATCTGTAAGACTAATTTCCAATTTGCACCTACACACAGTTAAAAAACCAAATACAGTTTGGAGCACTGATACCATGAAACCATTGATTTATAATTAGGACTGCAGCATAGGAATATGAGCTCCTGAAGACCAAGTGCTTTTCTGTGACACTGAGGATGAATCCATAAAACTGAAATGGTGAGGCACCACAGAAATATCGACACTGCTTGCCAAGGGAAAGGATTTTTTCTGTTTATGAAACATCAAAATTCTTATATTGTAGAAATGGCATTGAAATTAAAACTAAACCAACAAACAACTCCGAATTCCCTATGTCCAAAATCACAACTAAGCACATCTCCACCTGGTTTTCCCTGGACACACATGTGTAACCTTCTAAAACAGATATTTGTTTATTTAGCACCACAGGCCAAGATACTGTACATACTGTCACCAAAGATCTGCAGAGCCAGAGCAGCCATTACAGGTGTGACACAAAACAAGTCAAAGGCCCTTCCCTGTATTTAAGGAGCACATTTCCAAGAGATTACTGCACATTCTGTCTTGTCAGGAAGCTTGAATCCCCAAAAGCCACAGCTTAGCCACCCTAGTTCCCCATCAGTAATGGGGATTCCGTTAAATTCTTAACATTTTTAACTGCTGAAAAAAACAGATTTAAACATGCACCAGCTTATTACAGGTTGCTGATAAATATCAGCTAATAGAAAAGCTCCTCTGTGTATTAGCAGCTCAGGCATTTTACAAGTGAATACACACATTTAAGTAATTGATATCGGAGCAATCTCTCCAAAGTTTCATTAGATTCCTGCAGAAAAATAATTTATAATGCTGTAATTAGGCAATCAGAAGGAATGGACCACAAGAATTGAAAGTAATAAAATGCATTAGAGCTGAGCAGCAGGAGAGAGCAGGGGTTAAAGATCATTACAGGATTTACTCACTGCAGCAATGGAAGGCTTTTTTCCATCTCCAGCTGGCGGATGAGTTACATCTGCACCCAGGAATATGACAGGCTGTTGAAATACTGGTGGTCTGATAAAGAGAAAGGAAATTTGTAAAAGCAGCAAGGCTTACACCTAATCAAGCGCATTGTAACTCAAGTAAATAGCAATCTCTACCCTTGCAGTGAATCAGTCAACAATTTGCACTTGATCAGAGTTGGTCACTTGTAATTAGAAGTCCTAATTAGGGTTCTCCTACTAAATAGCTATGCTTTAAAAATATGCCTAAGTAATTGTTACTTTCCACTAAAAATGAGTTAAAATACTCCTTTTTTTTAAAAAAAAAAAAAAAAAACTTGGAGAACTGCAGCCTTTATTAATTAGACCATAGAAAAGAATAAAAGTTGATTCCTTAGCATCAAATAGCATTGAGAAAATTAAAAGGACTGTGCACATATACAGATGCTCTGATTTTGTTTCTGAACAAAACCCTAGCATTGGTAAGTACAAAAATTGTGGATATCATAGATATTATTTTAAAAGTAGATTTTTTTTTTAAAAACTGTATTTCAAAGTTTTAAACAAACCCTTAAGTTAAGATATTAATCCACTGCATCAACAGTAGAACACCAAAACACTTCATTAAAAGTTTTAAGCTTTAAGTCTGCTCCTTAACAAAACAATTTTAAACAGGAAATCTTAGGCTACCAAAATTTTTTTCATGTGTCTGTGGGTGTGTGGGGGAATGGTTATGTAGATAGACTCAGCTGTTTTCAGACCTTCTCTAAAAAGGAATTTGAAGGTAATTATAACAATGTAACTTACAATGCAATTATACAAATAAAAAGCTGTTCTATTCCCATCCCCTCAACCAACAGAAAATAATAGAGTTCTGTTTTAAATACCACAAACCTGCACTTTTCCAGAACGCCTAGGTGTTGTGCGTAATTGTGCCCTTTTTTCCCCCCCATTTACTCAACTCCATTTCCATGAATGCATAGTTTATTGGTATAATGAGGAGAATTCAACTTTCTGGCCATATTATTGTCAACGCATGCCACTTAACAGAGACCTTATGTTTATGAATCCAGCATAAAACTACTCTGAGGATGTGTGTGTTTCTGTTTTGCTATCACAGCAGTATCTTTAACTCCTTTTTGAAAAACAAAAACAAGAGCCAACAAAAAAACCCACTCTACATTTTTGAAATGCATGCTCTATAATACGATGATTTTTAGTTGCTTTAATAGGAATCTCCAAAAAGCACACTACCCAGGCTGATTCTGTTCAATCAACAGAATGTAACAAAATAAATAAATAAATAAAAATATATATCCCTTCTGATAACATGCTCTTTTCCCCCCCCCCTCCTTAAGTACTTGTTGCTGGATTATTTTGCAGCAGCTGCCTTCTGCCTAGCCTAAATACGTCATAGTAAAGATTTGCTTATCTGTGCAAAACAGAATGTTGACTTCTGTGGAACAGGCTCCCAAGAATGATGTAGCAGGTTATTCCCTGAGCTCTCTCTATAACTTGAAATGCAATGATTGTAAAAGTGCCATCTTTGTATGGATGTAGAAACCTAGCTGTCCATTTTGATTAAAGTAACTTTATAAATCTGAATGCCAGCCTTCACTATCCTACACAGGTAAGACAAAACAAGCTATATTTTTGTTCATTCTTCCATTAGAATTTCTTGTCACTGATTTTTTTTAATAAAACTGATGAGAAGTTTCAATTTAAGAACATTTGTTTTAAGATGATGCACAAAGCAAATTTAGTCTTTAACAGCAAGGTCCCTCCTTTTTTAGAAATAAGATATTTCACTCCCACTCATCTAGGCACAGGACTTCAGTGACATGTCAGATACGGAATTCAATCGTATCAAAGCAACTTCACAGAACACAGTCACAGTATAACTTAAATCTTACCAGTGTAATACTAATAAGAAATTGCAAGGTAAACTGGACCTGGAAACCAATGAAGAGTTTTCTGTTCCCAGCTTTTGGCTTTCTAAAGGTCTATGTAAGTTAAGACATACAACAAAATGACGAATCTTGACCACAATGAAACTGTAAAGGAAAAGGCACTACTATTCAAGATGGGCTCTGTTTGTTTCTGAAAACTCAAGGCAACTAAAATATTACAAATTTTTCATCCAAACAATAGTTGTATACATCAACAGTCAGATTGCAATAACTATATTTTTATTAGAAAATTTCAGCTGGAACAAGCGTTTCTCTCCAGTCTTCGTAACCTAACTTTGGCAGGCCTATTCATTAGAAGCCAAAAGATAGTTTGACTGAAGGGTCACTTAAACCAAAGCGCTATGACTACAGATAAAAGCACCCAGTGATCTTAATACGATGCATGTTCTCTTTACAACACAGTAACCTCTTCACAACACGGTATCCTCTTCCTCTTTGAAAAATGGCTTACCTTCCCTGTGGCAGTAAAATATTATTTACGCCTCCTAATTTGACATTTATTTTTAAGCAAAGGTTAGACAGAGTTTGCGGTGTTGTTCTTTGCACATTTTTCATCTGCACGCACTGCGTAGCCATTCCCAGCACAGTGTCGCCAACACGCTTCACCTCCGCTGCAAAATAAAGTAAAACCAAAAAAATTTTGCATATTGCAAATCAAACAACGTAGGAGACATTAATTCAGTGACAATTAACTACACCTAGAGTTTTAGCAAAGTGGTTGTTTAAGCCACAAGGAACAAGGAGAAACTTAACCCCTAAACCCAGCCCCAGCTGACAGCACAGTAACTGGGTCCTAAATATAACTAAAGGCACTGTTGGTTTATTTTAACTAAGAATTTTTAAATTATACTAATTGTAATTTTAAAATTATAGAGTTTCAGCAGCAGCACGGAAAAACCTCTGGCTAATGAAGTAGGTAATGTGGATAATATTAGGATGATGAGCACTTGTCTCACTACTGAACACCAGACTCATAACGCAAACTTAGTAGTAACGTGCTGAGTAATATTCAGCCACCCAGTTCATTGGCTCATCACAGCAAGTTTATTACTTGCATAAAAAGCGGCCATAAACTGCATAAAAGCAAAGGACAGCCCACAAAAACTCCAGCAGAAACTCATTAAGAACTGTACTTTGCAAAAGGTTAAAGCAAATCCTATTGTTAACAACAAAACTGAGACTTAAAGGCTTTGAGAGCGTCATACTCTTACACTCAAGAAAAGAAGAAATTTAGGCTCCAAGATAAGCTCGGAGAAGATGCATACCCCCTTTGGCAACAGGAGAGGGAAGAGAGGCTTTTTGAGGAGCAGGGTGAGAAGAGGAGAAAAGACAAGACTGTGGGTATAGAAGTGCAAGAGTCTGGAAGAGCGCAGGGAGAAATAAAGAGAGAAGATTAGAGGGGGCAGAAAGAACTATAATTAAAGATAATGACAAGGAAAGCAGATGAGAGTGGTACCACATCCTTTCAGTGGTTAAGTAAAGAGTCCCCTTTTAATGCCAAGCAGGAAAAGTGAAAATGTCGTTTTGCACTGAATTTCTATTGAACAAATTAGAGACGAGCCACGTCCTTTGCAAGGCTGAATTCGGGGGGGGCAAAAAAGGTACGATTTCGTTAAGGTTCCTTTTTTAATCTTTTTGTCTTACATGAGATAATCGTGGGAAAAGAAAGTTAGGAAATTATTTTCTGCTATATTAAATTGGTGAGGGATGGGATAAAACAAATCTGCAGCTGCTTGGCAGATCTCAGCCATTAGAGAAGAGAGATTTCATGAAGCTATGGGAGAAAAATAGTGAATGCTGCTGCAATTAGGCAAGGTAAAGGAAAAAAGGAGGAAGGCAGGAGAGGAAAACGAGCAGTCCTGCCTGTAGGAAGAGCTAGTTAAAAGCAATATGCACAGTTTATCTAAAATGTGTTAAAACCTACATGTATGTGCTATGTAAAATGCATTAATTGTCAATCTGTTCCCAAAAAACAGTTTTAAGTTGCTGAGTTTCCACCTTCCATGCATCCGTGTCCTCGCAACCCAAGAGTTAAAAAACTGAAAGAATAGGGATTGGTAGAAATCATCTCCTTCACTCAATGTTTTTTGCCAAAGGGTGATGGTGTAAGCAGAGATGGTCTAAAAGCTACACGATTCACGAGATCATTACTCTTCAATCACTTGGAATAGCACACAAATTATAGTAAGTATATTTTAATCCACTGCATATCAATTTCATTAATTTCCACAAAAGCCCTGGTTTAGCTTTCTCACTCACAAACTGCATTTCAAACGCAACCAACAGGAAGAATGTGGAAAAGCAAATTAAAAGCATAGACAAAAATAATGAAAATAATTACGGTCTTAATATAAAACATCATGCAGCACAAGAAAAAGAATAAAATTAATTTATAGCCCATTCCCTACATGGAATTTATACAGTTAACCCAGAATTAAACTTCTCTCACTCAGACACTTCACAAAAAAAATACATGAAATTGTGACCCAAACACACACGCTTATGATTTGCACTTACTGACCATAGACTGGTGTTTTTCCTGGCAAAATTACTACAACAAGCTGCAGCCCAGTGTAAGTGTTTTTGAGATGTCTGAACATGGGCTCCACACTGTCAGCTCCCTGTGCATATTTACAGTAAAGGACCTAAAGGATGTAGATAAATACATTAGGTTCTCAGGTAGCAAAATCCATCTTATTTTTAATGGAACGATCCTGTTAACCTTGAAGAGTTGTGCTGTCCAGAAACCTGGGAATTTACCCCAAGAGCATCTTTAATTGACTGTGCAGTTTTAATTGACTGTGTTTAGTCACTGAAGGAAAGACAGGGGAAGATGAGGAAATACACGGTATAAATAACATTACTATAAACTTAATTGCCAAAGCAAATTCCATCTTATTTGATCTTTATACAGGAGTTACTGTATAAGCTACTTTTTGCAAAAACCACTGCAACGATGCTGTTTTGGATAGCCTGCTCTACCATACTTCCATGTGGTACTACCACTGCAGAAATGGCTGGAGTTCCTTCTTTTTCTTGGTGAGGAAAACAACCAACAGAAGTTAACAGCAATTGTGTCTCAGCGAATTGATCTAATATCAACAATACTGCACAAGAAAACCTTGCTAGATATCAGAAGAAAGCTGTCCTCTGAAGGTGAAGACAAGCCTTCTCCAAAGATGGTGTAGATATGAGTCACCCTTTGATGGAACTGGTCAGAAAAAGACAACCTAATTTTGTCAGAGGCTTTTTATCAGTGAAGACTGCTTCAGGCCCCCTGCTAGCAGCTTGCCTCCTTTCTCCTGGCTCTTGTTGACGTGGTAGTGTTTGGCTATCTTTCCTTTTGAAGGGACACCAAGAAGACACCGTGCCTGTTGTAAGCAAGACAGTCAAAAGCACTTCAGTGTAGGAGTCTAAGGCTGTATAAAGTATATCCTGTCTGGAAAACATCTTCAAAGTCATGGCTTCTCCAGGTTAGATGCCTGCAGTCAATGGTGCATGAGTAGTCTCTAAGTCCCATCCCCATAAAACGAAGACAAGATGAGCAAGTAGTGACATGTCACAGTGCAAACCTGTAGAGCAGAGTACTTGGTGCCATGGGACCGACATCCACACTACATGTGCTTCTGGGATGTTTCGTCAGAGTGGCTGTGGTCTGGTGCAGTGGGCTGAACATCCATTAGTGGCTGAAGCACATTCTCTAGTCCAGTTTTATCAAAAAAAAAAAAAAAAAAAAAAAAAAAAAAAAAAAATCCACATTGTACACTCAAGACTCCTCCTTGATGCAGAACACGGCCTGGCAGTTGGTGACCATCAGGAGCATCACTTCAAATATTCATTCCTGATCCAAACTAAAACACTAGTGGCAGGTGCACTCAGAAATGTCCTTCTTCAGTGCTTGGTTTAATGACCAGCATAATAAACACGTGATTGCAGGCAGCAGTGCTTAACTAACATCAACGCTGACAAAACCCCTTTTATTATTTTGGAGCGGATGCCTCCATAGGCGTTTAAAAAGTTGCTCATCTTCACCAAAGGGTGTCAGATAATACAGCCTTACCCACTGAGAGGGTATGAAGATTTAGTTTCTTCCAAACCTATCGTTAACTTTCATGAATCATAAGCCTGTGAGCTTCATCCCTGCAGCTTGTGGCTTCTTGCAGAAAATAGGCGCATTAAGCATTTTCCCTGGCAAAACAGGCACTCACCACTATAAGCAGAAAGAGTCAGTGGCAGAGCATTCAAGTCTAAAACCACACAGGTTTTGAGCCTTTAGAAGTCCATCGGTAAGTATGGTGTTTAAGATGAAAGGTTCTTTACCTCTCAGGAACAGGGTGAGCAGGATGATTTTGAAGACTTTTAGGAATTTTGAAGGTGTTTACTCTGACATATCTACAGCAGCCAAGTTCCAACTTGCTCAACAAGATGTAGCAAGAGGCAACAAGATGCAATTGGATGCAGCCATATTCCTAGTATGAAGGAATGTCCTTTCACAGTAAGGACAAACCCCATCTAAGCCATCAAATAATTTTATCTTGGCTCATTATGTTGAAGACTTCTGCCTGTGTCTCAAACTTGACTAACTTCTCCCACACAATATGTCCACTAGAAGCAACAGTATGGAAGGGAAAATTCTCTGGCAGTTAAGTTCCTGCCATGTACCTGGAGAGAAGTCCCTAGCCTTACCTTTTACTTTTCTTCCCATTGTGTAAGATTCCCACTGTTTGCTCACCACTTCTTAGGGAAAAAATTCCCAAGCTATTTGGCAAATCATCTAAAGGAAGGGTGTTATGGCAATACTGTTGCTATGAACAATCACTGTCTTGCATTCACCTTACAAAGAGTAGCTGAGTCACCTGCTAGGGCAGCTATAAGAGCTGCACTTGCCCATGCATGAAGGGAAAGCAACTGCATGCAAAAGAAGGAATTACACAATCCATCTACACAGGTACGCATGCTTTCCCTGAGCCAAGAATGGTAGATGTCACTTTTAACAACAGCCTTTCAACAATCACGTTAAATCCAAACATAGAGAAACCACCTCTGAAAGTTTCATTCAAATGCTCAGAAGTCAACAAAACAACTGGTCTTACTCATCTTGCAAATACAGCAACTTGCATCTTACGGTAACTCTAGAGGGTAGAAAGCTTTAGACAAAAATTGGATTGTTTTTTAAAATTTTCCTTTTAAATGAGTTCTGCACGAATAAATCTATTCCCTATAACCAGGAAAAGAACCTAAGATGACACACATTAAATTTCTCTCCTGAGACTCTTGACAAATACTTAGTGATAAACACCATCACTGTATCATTTCAGTCATCTTAAACTCTGCCCTAGCATAAATTATAAATTATATTATAATTAAACATCATTATCATATAATATCATTAAACATCATTTCGGTCATCTTAAACGTTACCCTAGCATAAATTATAAACTCTGCCATACAGTATAAATTTTGCTTTTGGTAAGTCTGATTTGGAGGATTTCATGATGCTAGCATTGAAATCATATTGGCGTCATTCAAAACAAAGAGAGAGAACTTCAAAAGCACTTTAAAGATGTATTGCCGTACTTTAAACAATTTAACAAGATATATATTCTAAATAAATAAGTGAAACGATGCTATCTCCATACATAATAAACAACAAAATCACCATTATATGAAACACACTTACTTAAGATGAACTTCAGTGCATTGGCGCTGGGGAGCAAAGCATGCAATTGCCCAAACCTTTATTTCAATTCCAGTGTGAAACTGTTTGTTCCTCATGTCCCAGACTCCTTGAACTGGTGTAGCAATCGCTTTATTCTGGAAGTGGAAGCAAAAAAAAACAAACACAAAAACAAACTAAAATCAAAACGCTAATGCAAAAATTGATTCATGCTAACAAAAATCCGTTATGCTTCTGCCTCCCTCCAACTAGCGGGCTATTTATATTCGCAGGTCTTTCTACCATTCAAACATCTATCCTATCTTATGAAGATCATTCTGTCATTGTACTAAGACAACTTGCTAACCTGGTGAAAAATAAAGCTCATAAAAATAAAACTCATATTGTTCATTTTTATTGTTGATGGTTTCCTTTGGTTAAATAAATCAGCAGGAGACAGAAATTACACGTGGATAGTAAGTCAGATTCCTGCTTGGCATGTAATGTTAACAAGAACGTACATTTCTACAGTGACTTTACAACCGCTCAGTGAACTTTCCAAGAGCAACTTAATTTAAGTACTATCAATATTTTACACATCACTAAGTAGAGGTAAGTAATGGTTCGATGTCACTCACACAACTCTAGAAAAAATGTGAACAAGCTAACAGAAGATGATCAGTTATTCAACTTTGACCTGTGCAACACTCTCCTTCCCATCAAGCAGCCATTACTGTGATGGATTATCAACAGGACAAGAAATATAATGAGATGACTAAAGTAATTCTGGTGATGTTAATTACCTTAATAAGTATTAGTGTCCCATAAATGTTTTAGGCAAGTTACGGTTATGTCTGCCTTCTCATCTAGCAGCAACAACTAAAATTTATGGGAATTTTTCAGGAGACACCCACAGATTTGATAATTCATTTTGCAAAGAGTTGTGTCCACTGAAGGCAGTACTTCCCTGACTCTGACTTTCCATCATTCATCTGCCATTGAGCTCTTGTTCCCCTGGCGCCAGCATAGTTCATGAAAGCACTCTCCCTAATCAGGCAAAGACACCTGGGTTACCTTAACCTGTCAGTGAAGAAAGGTTTGAGCCAATTTGCCCAATTTTGTCCAACGAGCTTTAGGTAGAAGATGCAAGATCCTCTCCCACTGCAGTTTTATGGAGGTAACAGTCTGATTTGTGCATAGGGACAGAACTACCTTCAGTTGGCAATGCATGATTGAGAAGAGGTTCATCAGAAGCCCTCACAAGTTATCCCAGCTATCCAAGCTTTTATCTTGCATAAAAACAAGACATGTTATATAATTGATAGAAAAATCCTGTTTCTCAAGCTGTTTTTGAAAAGACACCACAGTAGGAAAATTATGTCAGAAAGGCCATCTGAAAAGCCGCTGTAAAGAAAGAACCTGCAAGTAAATACTCCAACAGGAAGAAATGGCTCTGGAGAAAAACATGCCTTAAGATAGTTGCCTTAAACACAGCTGCTCCTCCCAGAACACTCAAAAGCAACCAGAAGTTCAGGAAGATTTCAGAGTTAAGGGAGGAAAATATAAACAGTAGTAACTGAAGTTGTCTCTGTTCTTCTCCATACACATTGATTTGAGCCACTACTTGCAGGTTTCTTCTTGCAACACACAATAAAGCAGTGCATGAAGGAAAAATATGCACATTTTTCTCTTAAGATTACATAAACACATTTTTAACCTAGCTTTACTTTCCTAAGTAAAGAAGCAGTTGAGGGAGATGCAAAATGATTATTACATTTAGGGACTTTCAAAACTCAAACGTTACACCTATGATGACTTTTTCCCCTTACACCCACCACCATTCATTTAAAACAACCTTATTACAGAAGTTATCACAGCTGATACCAGATTGTACAGTATCTGTTCAACATACCCTGCCTCCATAGAGGATTGAAGGAGGCTGTAGGACTCTACCGGTCACATCCGTCATTTCATCTTTCACCATTATTCCAAATTCACGAACATAAGGGTCGGTATTAAAACTCGCGCTCCGCATCTGAAATTAAGAAGAATGAGGTATTTCTTGCAGAAAAAGAAGGGTTTTTTTATGAGACCTAAAACTTTCTGAGATAATCATATTTGGGCACATACCCCTTATACATGGGTGATGCCATGCATCCAAAGCCTCTGTTAATTCCACTTGGATACATGGATGCCTCAAAATTTGAAATAAAGCACCAAAAAAGCCACTTGAAAACCTTTTGTGAGAATGTATTTCCCTCTGATTAACGGAGAAAGTCTTACAAAAACAAGCTCATAATCTGCGTACAGCACACAAACTATTCCATATCTGCTAATGGGAAGAGAACAATTAAGCCCGTTACCATGCTTCACTCATCTTTGACAGAACACTCACCAATTTGCTAATCTCTTCTTGACGGTCAGGTGCTGATCTGGCCGTTGCTCGAATCATAGTGGAAGTTTGATTGTCTGTGAGTTTCTTTATGCATCTTTGTCCTGCCACTATGTTGCACACCTACAACATCCCCACACAAAGGAAGTTAAAAAACACAATGCAACTGGTTTTGTTTGGGTTTGGTTTTTTTTTTTTCATTGCTGCACTAGACCATTTCTAAAGTTGGCTACTAAAAAAAGCACTTTGTCAACGTTTGACCCCCCCCCATTCCCAGAATATTTTATCTAGAAGTTTACTTGCCTCAAGAGGAAGGTAGGTGTGTTTCTGCTCTTGTCCGACTTGTAAACATGGAAGGTGAGGATAGCGTAAAACTAATTTGTGCCTGTCCTTAAAATACTGAGCTACAGTGCATTCAACTGTTTGTCCATTCTCCTAAAATGCTGAAGTGGGAATCTATTGGAAATCAAATACAAAGACAGGCCATTACTTTATGCAGAATACTTTCCCACACTTGCTCAACACACCTCTTGGCACAAGTTAAGCTTACTGGAGATTAAGCCTACCTTGCTGAAATGATGCAAGTGTAATTCTGTAATTAAGATTCCATCATTGCCACTACCATGCGTTTTCTAATAGTACCACAGAAAGCTATTTCTCTAACGTTCTTGATACCTGAAGCTATAAATTAAGCTTCCTAAGAGCGGATGCCTTAGAGACAAAGACTAATGTTTTCTGCTTATCTGGGATACTTGCAGTACAATGTTTTTTGATATTCCATGCGCAGCAAATAGCAAGCCTACCCTGAGTCACAAAACCAATTACCGCTTCAGAAATGCATATATCTTTCTGTACATTACAAATATATTTCCATATATACACACACAATTGCCTATACTTACATCAAGGTGACACAAATAGTCACATCACCGAAAAAGCACGAAACAGACCCAAAACAATTAAATACCAGATTTAGATATTAATCAGTTAACTTCTTGTAAAAAGCTGCTATCAGTTCTGTTCCTTGTACTACTTACATATGGTGCGTATTTTCCCCACTTTACTTAAAAATGGGAATAAATACCTCCAGATTCAAGTTATCTGCAAACCTCTGGTTAGTGATTAAACATTTTTTCCAGAAGAAAAATAAATAAGAAAGATTAGAAGGAATATCCCAATTGGCACTACTTTTCTACTCAACAGTTCTGGGAAACAGTACGCTACTAATAGGGCACCCTATTCTTCCAATGTTGAAGAAATCTGTAAATTAAAACAAAACAAAAAACAACACACAACCCAAAAGAAAAACCAAAAAAACCCACCGTGGTTTTAAAACAAAGCAATTGGTTCAAATGCCATGACATTCATTATGGAATAAAAATAGAAGAAAAAGAACAGCAAAATTGGGAAACTACTTTGAGGTATATTTTAAATATATTGACCAAAGAAAGTAACATTTTTCAAGACAAATTTTCCTATGTCAGTAAGGCAGGCAAGATGCTTTTCCAGCCTGAGATTAAACACGTGCTTAAAAAGAAGCAAAATACTTTACGTTTGGTGACTTGCTGGTCGTCTGGTGACATTGCACACTCTGTACTTTCTTTTCATTTGTCCACAGTGTGTTATCTCCACCTTTAGACCTAAAAATTGGAAAAACATGTATCACTGTTTCTTCAAAATCAAGGTGTCAGCCCCCTTAATCGCTACACAAAACGACTTAAACTGTGTAATAAAGCTACTCACTATTTAGCACATTCTCAGAGCACCAAAGTGTATCCCAGACAGAACTCACAGAAAAAGCCAACCCTTACGGTCTTAAAATTCAAAACCCCTGACCTTCAGCCAAAGTTCAACAAAGAATTTTAGAGACAAGATGAAACCCCAAAGCCCCAAAAGTTTGAAGATTAACACATTCTGTGAATACCAATTCTGTAGCTCTAAGGAAGTCCAGGATGGTGGAAGGACAAAAAGGGCACACAACCTCCTTGAAACAAAAAGCTTGTTTATATTTTATGTCTAAACATATGGTGTCTGTGAGACCTCCAACTATTGCAAGCAACCCCAAACTAATGATCTGGGGGGCAGGGAGAATACCCATACAGCCTCTAGAAGCCCATGGTAATGAGGCCATGCGGCCTGATTCTTCGTGAAGACAAACATGTGTTACAAACCCCACTGGCACAAAAGCTGAGCCCACCTGAAAGCCAACAACTTCTAGAAGAATAAATTATCCACCCCAAACCAGCACAACACAGCTACCTGCAAAGAACTGTTTCTAATTTACCATTGCCCACAAATATAAGCTTGAACACAGCGTTTTCATTTATATTACTTTCATGCTTAGGCAGAAACAGATGTAGGTGGGCTATTAGAAATAGGAAGTTGAATGTGTGGGAATAGGAAAGAGAGGGCTGTAGACAGAAATTCCTTATATATCTGCAGGTGTGTATCAACTCAGGCGGCTGCTGAGTAACAGTGCATATTTTCCCTATCTGTCAAAGGCACTAACAAGTTGCCAAACAACATACTAATCTTTCCACGTAAGCTGTTATGGCTTAAAGTGCCACCTATTATGAAACCTTCAATAAATATCAAGTTTTCATGAATACCTCCAAAAGCTGTATCACAGTATTTTCGTTAAAAGATAAACCGTTACTTCAGTTTACAACTGGTTTTGCTGCAAATTTGAGATGAGAACTTTCATCTGAAGAATGAAAATCCTCATGGAAAAAAAAATGACAAAAGCAGATGGCAATTCAGTGCCTGATTACTTTTTCAAAACACTTACAACCAGTCCAAACTCAGGATTTATTTATACTTTTCTTGCTAACTTCTAGTTGGGCAACAATGATTTTGTGGACATTTTGTGGAAACGAGAAAGCTAAGTAATAGATTTATCGAGTTTGTTTTTCTTTTTTTAACTTGCTTTCTTTCTATCATGAAGGACAGACCTCGTTTTTCCAGAAGAAACCTTCAGCGAACACAAACAGTAAGATCCCTTCCTCCTACTCTTTGATTCAGTCATTACATATTAGAATAACTAATTTAATTCCAGGAGACTGTATGTACGAAATATACTGAAGTATGCAAAAACCACATTGCTAAATTATTAGTAAAATCTGGAATATGAAAATCTTGACATCAGTAATTGGAAAAATTTAAGATCAGGCAATTTAAAAAAAACACAAACAAACATGAAATTCCAGTGTTCATAAGCGTTTTTAAATTATTAGATTACGAACTGCAGTATCTCTGTCATGGAACTGGGACTGGCACTACCAATATGTTTCACTTTCAAAAGTGAAGAATATGACATTTTTGTATTTCTAACTCTTAATTCGTATCTACTCCAGAGACGAGGGCACTTTAAGAAAAATAAAGCACTACAGTAAATGTAAATTCTCAATACAATAAAGCAATATTCATGTGGGAAGATAAAGGAGATTGACATAATAAGGTGCTTTTTATGCTGAAAAGATCTCAGTAGTACCTCTGCACTGAGGTGGTGGTGAGGCACACACAAAAAAAATGAAATAAAAAAAGGTATGTCAAGAGAACCTACACTTAAATGAGAAGAAGCTTGCACAAGTCACAAGCCAGTAACTAATCTCACTAAAATAAATTACCATCCACCTACTAAAAAGTTTTAGTTCATCCCATCACTTAGAGTAAAACATATCTCCTTCATGGTTGCACTAAAGCGTTTTCATTAAGGGCAAAGCTAATTAAGTTACCCTGTATTTGCCACAGGTAAAATGCACGTGCATATATATTTACCACAGATTCTCAAATATGTAATAAGTTACTTATGTACATACCTGAGCTCTAAATGTGTCTGGTTTAAAAAAAAAAAAAACTCACTTAACTTTCTATATTAGTGATTCATCAAATCTGAGGCCACATAGTTACCTGAACTCCCCCAACTTTGCTTATATCCACAAAGTGACTCTGTCAAGCTACAGAGATTAAACCTATGAAGTAAGAAAAAAGCACAAGTAGACTGAAACATAAAGTTGATCAGCAGACTTCTGAAAGTCGTCAAATATATGGAAGTAATAAAATTATTCTTGCCTCTTAGTTTTGCTCAAAAATGGTGCTCTGTGCGTTGTGATAACCTGTCTCCCAATAAGGCAACCGCTATAGAATGTATTTTAAATGTGTAGTGGCAACACATCAGACAGACTAAAACAGTTTTATGTAATTTAATTATTACCTTTTATTTCTTTGGTAAACTTTACCCTTTGGGAATCTGTCAGAGGTTTTTGTTGTTCTTCAATACTTTTGAAGTCCAAAACTTCACACACGAACTCAATAACTGGCTGTGCTTTGTAAAATGCGGTTGCAGATACTGTAGACAAAAACATTAATGTTGTATTACAACAATACCAAGGAAATTTTTAAGAAATACAACAAATGGAACTAAATATTTGCCTTTCTACTGAGAAAGGAGGAACAAGAAAACATTTTTATAGGACCTACCATCAATGTTTAACATCATTTTCCATAAAGAAGGTCTGACTGATTGATGGAAGCCAAACCAAACTTCTCTGCCACCACCCAATGGATTTGAGCACCCTTCTGATGCTGTAAAAAAAGATCGCCCCACAGGAGTATATCTGCAATAAAGGAAAGAAATTCAGGTCATCAAACTAAAGCAAAAAAAAAAAAAAAAAAAATTGCAATAAAGCCACAACTAATGCAAATTCCTATTCACAAAAGCACAGAAATGTCAGTGTTTCAAATTACCAATGTTCTGAGATTCCTGTTGGGACTCGGGTTATACCTCTCAAAATCCAGCTAGTTACAGTAAGAAACTGGCTACTACTCATGTTTGTTTAAATTTATTTTCAGTATACTCCTTGATATGCCTAGTAATTCAAACAAAAAGCATTACGAATTTTTTTTGTACTCTTAAAAATTCAGCTATGCTTCAATAAGAAAGTCATGAAACATCTCTGCTATGAAAACAACAACGTAATAATCTCTCCCCTTACTCGTGCAGAGCCTCCTCTGAAATCCATGGAAACTTTGCGTGGGTGAACGACCAATCTAACAAATATTTTTATGCATCTTCCATCTTGGTAATTCGGTACTGCACACTTAATATCAAACTAATCAAAACCAGCACCAATATGTTTCTCTGCACAAAGCTGTGTGACAAACTAGTCTGGGCTGTTTTCTGTGTTGCAAAACCTGACTACAAGTTTTTACTGAACTAAGCTATTCTTTTTATCCTTAATGTGAGGATAAAGTCAATGTACCATAAGGCTATTTAAAGATACTTACATAAATTTAAGTGATTTTCCCTGTTTAGCCCTTCAAAATTGGAAAGTTCAGCCCTGCTAAGCTCTGTTCTTTGTTTTCCAATTGAATGTAATTTGAACAGTGGTCTTAAGTGACTTGTTTCATGGCAGAATTAAACCTAGTATCTCTCTTGGGTTTGACTGCAAATGCTGTAGATCCTACTTGCTTGGAAAAAAAACCAAATAGTTTTCAAGGTTTTTTTTTATATAAAAATATCTACACTGGGTGACAGTACCTAGCACAGTATCCTTTATACAAAATTGACAATAAACATCCGCCCGAGGACACATAGGAGCAGAGTAACAAGTTTTTTAAAACCACCCTTACATGTCTACAACCTCCAACTACTTTCCACACCAGGAGGGCTTCCTTCTCTGAGGCCTACAGAGAAACAGGGTATGAGCAAGATGGCAGGGCACCCCTGACCTGAGAGCACACAAACATGGAGCGAGTCTGAAGACCAGTGGGGAAAGGGACTTGTGTCCAGGCTGGAGGCTACTAATTCCACCGTACGAGCAGAAAAGCACCCACCATATTGCCTCTTGCTTGAGCATGCCTTCTGCTAGGTAGCTATTATTTTGGATGAGCTATGAAAGCACGTCCTACCCAAAAAGCCACTGAAGCGATTCAAATAACAATGCAACCTCCTAAACAACATCAAGGTCTTCCCCTCACCTCATGGAAGGCAAGTGCCTCATCACTACATCCAGTGCCTGGATGGTTTCAAACGGGACACTTGGCAGCCGACCAGAAAGAGCATCATGTAAAGCCTGCAAACTCACACAGGACATCCACTTTATAGCCACCTTAAATATTCTGTCCTTTCCTTCTCCTGGCAGCGTGACCTCCAGCTCCACCTGCAACAATGCCAAACAACAAACCAAGATGATTCTTTCCATTTAAAGGGGAAAATGGAAGGGGCTTGGAAAGGACGATGGATTCCTCTGAACAGCGCTATAAAGTACGGGAGGAGACAAAAAGCAATGATGAAGAAACAACATACATTAAGCACAGCCTCTTTTTACAGCTAGATCTTTCCAAAGGTGTATTTCAGAAAGCTGGCGTGCTTCCCAACTGGCATCTATCTCCCTGTTTGAGGCAATGTTATAATTTGGAAGTGCTTGCGTATCAACAGGGAGGTCTCCATGAAGATCCGATAACCTGATTTCAGATACCTAACACATACTAATGCATCACCGCTCACGTCAGCTCCTGCATGCCTAAAATAAAACATGGTCTGTTGCTACCTGCCAAGATTCACAAATTTCTGGTATTTGCTCTCTAGAGTGCCAGAGTGCTTTATGTATTATTACTGTAGACATAGTTCAAATGAGAGAAAATACAATCCACAAGGAGCTTTCAAAGAGAAAAAAAACCAAACAAC